AGGGGAGAGGGGGGGGGGGGGGGGGGGGGGGGGGGGGGGGGGGGGGGATAGAGACGACATATTTACTGTGGATAGGAGGAGAAAGAGTGAAAAGAAAAGCAAATTTATGAAATGATTTTGAGGGGTGGGGGGTATGTATCAAACAGTAGATGCTGATATGTGGTATGCTGATATGATATGCCTACCATTGAATAGTGAATTCAAGATTTTTGTGATTATAAAAAAGTAGTGGTGAAGAACTGATGAAGAATGTAAATGTGGTGTAATGTTGTTGGTTTGCTTGTGATAGCGTGTGGGTGTTATTTTTATCAATTCTTTTTTGTTGACATGAGTGTCTTTTTCTTTCAGCTCCAACAGTCAAAGGTTCTGGAGAGTATGGGGTCTTATATTTGGCAGAGCCACTTGATGCGTGTACAGACCTGACAAATAAAGTTGAACGACTTCCCAATGTGAGTTCACCTTTTACTTTGGTCGTTAGAGGGGGATGTAGCTTTGAGGAGAAAGTCAGAAGGGCACAAAAGGCTGGCTTCCAAGCTGTAATTGTCTATGATAATGAAGAAGACGGTGTCTTGGTTGCAAGTAATGATCAATTCTTATATACAAGAGACATTTGTTCATCATCCTCTCTCACATGCAATTGCTATTAAATTTGTTTTTTCTCCAATCATCAAAGATAACACAAGTGGTAATGCACATTCATTGGTTGTTGCTAAATGGGTTTTTTATAGATTAGAGATTCATGTTAGATTGTGTTAGCTGTTAGTTTTACATTAGTTATAAATTTTGTAACCTAGAGGAGCTTATAATGTTTCCTGTACAAGTTTCTGTGAAAGGAATTGATTAATACAATGTAATTTGGAAGACATGTATTAGGGATTGTTGGTTGCTGTTCTTCTTTTTCTATGTTAAATGGAAGGTTAGAGAAATAATTTCGTTCAATCTTGGAGTAGATTTTTTTTATAACCATTGAAATTGGGGTGTCACCAGTAATTGCATGGCAGTCTGAGATTTTGGATGTTTGGGGCTTTATATGTTGTTGATGGATTATATTATCAAGGAAGAACATATTGGAAAGGATTACAAATATGTATGGTCTGAAAAAATTGACACCAGTGATGCATATGAATTCTATTGTCAAATAATGGATATTCAAGATGACTTACCATTGGGCGGATTTCTTGTTTTTGTGCACATATTGTATTTGTTTTCATACACGTACATCATATGTTGGGGATTTCTAATTCACAATTTTTGAGTTTCAGTGGCAGGAAATTCTGCTGGGATAAGAATACATGCAGTATTTGTATCTAAAGCTTCGGGTGAAATACTAAAGAAATATGCTGGGTGGCCTAATGTGGAAATATGGTTAATTCCAACTTTTGAAAACTCGGCATGGTCTATCATGGCAATTTCATTTATCTCCCTACTCGCAATGTCTGCAGTGCTGGCCACTTGTTTCTTTGTCCGCAGACATCGCATAAGAAGAGAAAGGCCTCGGGGTTCTCTTGTCCGTGAATTTCATGGTATGAGTAGTCGCCTAGTGAAAGCAATGCCAAGTTTGATATTTACTGCTGTTTTGGAAGACAACTGTACATCAAGGACATGTGCTATATGCCTTGAAGACTATTGTGTTGGCGAGAAGATCAGGATTCTTCCGTGCTGTCACAGTAAGTGTTCCCATAACATTTTTTTTTTAAAATCCAGTATATTATTCTGTTGGTTTATAGACCTTTAATGTATGATTATGTACTAGGGCATTGTTCAGCTTGAATGTCCTGCTACTTTGTGCAGTTCATCATTGGATCTAATGTTGATCCTATGTTAAGATATTTAATATCCACAACATTTTTTAAACTTCTGGTGTAATATCAGTTAACATTACCTGGCAAATGAGTATGTTGTTAAGCATGAGGCAGGTTTTGCCTAGTTTCCCAGCCATCTTCTTAAGGTTTATTGGAAATAAGCATACAATGAAACTTGTTAATTTTGAGGTGATAATAAGTTATAAACTAAACTTTTTGCATTGCCTGCTCGGAAGCCTCAAGCAGGATGTTTACTTGGAGGCTTACACTCACGTTCTAGCTTCTCCCACCCCTATGTTCCTCGACAAACTATGGTTAAGTATTTAGTAACTTTGATGTTTGTCTTTGCCTTTATCCAAACACTTTCAATTTGACTATACTGTCGCATTGATGTTGATCACAACATAATCCTTACTGAAATGGAAAGTGCAATCACATACTTGTTGCAACATATAAACTATAATAAAAAAGAAGTCTTCTAATGGGATTTTTTAAAATGGAAAACTGGGAGCAATTCTACTTTCTGGGTTCTACCTACTTTTTAAACAACAACCAGTGACTCTCTTGGACAATCCTGTTGTTTCCTAACCTCCAATCTAAAACAGACATTTACAAGGATTGTTAGAAAATGTCCATTCCATCTTAATCTTGAAATTTTTTAAGCATGCCAATTTTGAAGTAGCTATAATAAAGAACTGGCACCCAATGTGTTTTTTCAGTAGAATAATGTGACAATTTAGTTTGATGTTTAATTTAATCTCCATACTCCTCACGAGTCATTAAATACTGCAATTTTAACAAATTACTTAATTTATATGAAATTTTGGTCTGACTTACTTGTGGTATATGAAAATCGATTGTTATGGATGATTCTATAAAATTCTCATAACATGACCTGGGAGGCAAAATAATCTAGGAAGTTTTCTAAATTGCAGCCCTTTTCTCAATCTCGAAATAGTCAACCCAGTGGGTTGGAAGGTACAGATTTGACCTGGGATACAATGGAAGTCCTAGAATTATCTGGACCTTATGTGTGGCTCTATGAATTCTAAAATTGCATATGTGTGGCATAATGCATCAGATTAAAACTGGTCGTCATCCAAAATCACACCTTTTAAAAAAATAGAAGCTAATTACATCACCTACTTCTGTTCTTTGTATTTTGGTTTTTAGACCATGTTCTTGACTCCTGTTAGTCTGAGCCTACTGAAGGTATTACTTACATATTTGCATAATGTGCATGTTAAGTTTTGATTGTTACACATATTATATTAATTTGTTTCTCCTGTTTATTTATTGGCAGAGTTTCATGCTGCATGTGTGGATTCTTGGCTTACTTCATGGAGAACCTTTTGTCCAGTTTGCAAGCGTGATGCAAGAACTGGCTTAACTGATCCACCTCCTTCAGAATCCACACCCTTGCTCTCATCAAGCCCAGCATCTATGGCATCCTCTGTCTTATCTTCTGTGAGATCATCACTAGCTTCATCTTCAGCAATACAAATTGCCCGGACAGCTTCACAGACCACATCTGTTTCCCGTAACCACTCTATTGCCAGTACACCTTATGTTCATCCATCAACATCACTTAGGTCATCCTACCATCAATCCCCCTCCCTAAGCATGAGCCGAAGCTCAGTAGATCTTAGGAATGCATCCCAAAGATCTCTAGCTTCTCACTTGAATTCACCACATTCCATGGGATATCCTTCTATGCCATCCCTTAACTCAAGGTACATGTCCCCGTATATTCCAAGTCCAAGCAATGCTTCAGTGAGTTATTTGGGTTCATCCAGTCATCAACAACATCCTCTCCGTTATAGTGAGTCGGCTGCAAGCTTCTCACCATTTGCATCGACACACTCCCTTCCGGAATGTTAAATTGTTCAATTTCATTATATCATATGATTGAGGTGTCCATGCACTTGAACCAGTAATTGCCGAGTCTTGAACTAAAAGGTGCCATTGATGACTGATGCTCTAGTGGACTACTCCTATGCGACACTACGGCATTCTTAACCTGTCTCCTTTGGCATTTGACTTCCTCATTGGCACCTGGTGTACATTGTAGCTTCTCTTGTGATGTTCAGTTTCATTTACATGTTCTGGTTGAGGTTCTTACGTTTTTAGGCTGGTGAGTTTGCGTACAGTCAATCGTGTGTATTGTTTTTGCTTTGAATTTGATGTTTTCATGGCTGCTTTGATTTCAAAGTACAGTCAACTACTAACAAGAAAATGTTGGGCTGTAGATTGAAGTCATAGAGTTCTTTATGTTGTTTTATGGATTTGTCCAACTGAATGATGAGAGATCATGTGATACTCTGTTGTTACCTGTACTTGATTATCTAATTGCAACAATATTATCAATTATGCACGTAAAATTTTCGTAGGGTGTGTAATAATGGATATGCTATTGTTGGCAAAAATCAACATATAGGTCTTACCCAAATGTAAACTTTTCTGGTTTCTTGATACAGAGAAAATCCATAATCTATACATGTTAAATACCTTCAGTGGCATCTTCGATTAATAGTAAATTGGAATTTCTGTGCTTGAAATTTTATTAGTACTCTCCATTTAGGATTACAAAAGTTGAAAAACTCGTGAGACACCCTCTTTGAATTAGGGGCCTTAAAATGGTTCTTAACTTTGCTTCCCTTCTTCCTAAACAAGACCGTAGTCTGGATTCTATGGAATCCTATAGAATTATTTTTGGTATCTATTTAATGTGGTAAAAATTATATATAAAATTAATTTTCTTGTGTTGAATATACATAAAATATTTTATTTATAATAAAAATAAATATGATATTAAGTTTAANGGGTTTTTTATAGATTAGAGATTCATGTTAGATTGTGTTAGCTGTTAGTTTTACATTAGTTATAAATTTTGTAACCTAGAGGAGCTTATAATGTTTCCTGTACAAGTTTCTGTGAAAGGAATTGATTAATACAATGTAATTTGGAAGACATGTATTAGGGATTGTTGGTTGCTGTTCTTCTTTTTCTATGTTAAATGGAAGGTTAGAGAAATAATTTCGTTCAATCTTGGAGTAGATTTTTTTTATAACCATTGAAATTGGGGTGTCACCAGTAATTGCATGGCAGTCTGAGATTTTGGATGTTTGGGGCTTTATATGTTGTTGATGGATTATATTATCAAGGAAGAACATATTGGAAAGGATTACAAATATGTATGGTCTGAAAAAATTGACACCAGTGATGCATATGAATTCTATTGTCAAATAATGGATATTCAAGATGACTTACCATTGGGCGGATTTCTTGTTTTCGTGCACATATTGTATTTGTTTTCATACACGTACATCATATGTTGGGGATTTCTAATTCACAATTTTTGAGTTTCAGTGGCAGGAAATTCTGCTGGGATAAGAATACATGCAGTATTTGTATCTAAAGCTTCGGGTGAAATACTAAAGAAATATGCTGGGTGGCCTAATGTGGAAATATGGTTAATTCCAACTTTTGAAAACTCGGCATGGTCTATCATGGCAATTTCATTTATCTCCCTACTCGCAATGTCTGCAGTGCTGGCCACTTGTTTCTTTGTCCGCAGACATCGCATAAGAAGAGAAAGGCCTCGGGGTTCTCTTGTCCGTGAATTTCATGGTATGAGTAGCCGCCTAGTGAAAGCAATGCCAAGTTTGATATTTACTGCTGTTTTGGAAGACAACTGTACATCAAGGACATGTGCTATATGCCTTGAAGACTATTGTGTTGGCGAGAAGATCAGGATTCTTCCGTGCTGTCACAGTAAGTGTTCCCATAACATTTTTTTTTTAAAATCCAGTATATTATTCTGTTGGTTTATAGACCTTTAATGTATGATTATGTACTAGGGCATTGTTCAGCTTGAATGTCCTGCTACTTTGTGCAGTTCATCATTGGATCTAATGTTGATCCTATGTTAAGATATTTAATATCCACAACATGTTTTAAACTTCTGGTGTAATATCAGTTAACATTACCTGGCAAATGAGTATGTTGTTAAGCATGAGGCAGGTTTTGCCTAGTTTCCCAGCCATCTTCTTAAGGTTTATTGGAAATAAGCATACAATGAAACTTGTTAATTTTGAGGTGATAATAAGTTATAAACTAAACTTTTTGCATTGCCTGCTCGGAAGCCTCAAGCAGGATGTTTACTTGGAGGCTTACACTCACGTTCTAGCTTCTCCCACCCCTATGTTCCTCGACAAACTATGGTTAAGTATTTAGTAACTTTGATGTTTGTCTTTGCCTTTATCCAAACACTTTCAATTTGACTATACTGTCGCATTGATGTTGATCACAACATAATCCTTACTGAAATGGAAAGTGCAATCACATACTTGTTGCAACATATAAACTATAATAAAAAAGAAGTCTTCTAATGAGATTTTTTAAAATGGAAAACTGGGAGCAATTCTACTTTCTGGGTTCTACCTACTTTTTAAACAACAACCAGTGACTCTCTTGGACAATCCTGTTGTTTCCTAACCTCCAATCTAAAACAGACATTTACAAGGATTGTTAGAAAATGTCCATTCCATCTTAATCTTGAAATTTTTTAAGCATGCCAATTTTGAAGTAGCTATAATAAAGAACTGGCACCCAATGTGTTTTTTCAGTAGAATAATGTGACAATTTAGTTTGATGTTTAATTTAATCTCCATACTCCTCACGAGTCATTAAATACTGCAATTTTAACAAATTACTTAATTTATATGAAATTTTGGTCTGACTTACTTGTGGTATATGAAAATCGATTGTTATGGATGATTCTATAAAATTCTCATAACATGACCTGGGAGGCAAAATAATCTAGGAAGTTTTCTAAATTGCAGCCCTTTTCTCAATCTCGAAATAGTCAACCCAGTGGGTTGGAAGGTACAGATTTGACCTGGGATACAATGGAAGTCCTAGAATTATCTGGACCTTATGTGTGGCTCTATGAATTCTAAAATTGCATATGTGAGGCATAATGCATCAGATTAAAACTGGTCGTCATCCAAAATCACACCTTTTAAAAAAATAGAAGCTAATTACATCACCTACTTCTGTTCTTTGTATTTTGGTTTTTAGACCATGTTCTTGACTCCTGTTAGTCTGAGCCTACTGAAGGTATTACTTACATATTTGCATAATGTGCATGCTAAGTTTTGATTGTTACACATATTATATTAATTTGTTTCTCCTGTTTATTTATTGGCAGAGTTTCATGCTGCATGTGTGGATTCTTGGCTTACTTCATGGAGAACCTTTTGTCCAGTTTGCAAGCGTGATGCAAGAACTGGCTTAACTGATCCACCTCCTTCAGAATCCACACCCTTGCTCTCATCAAGCCCAGCATCTATGGCATCCTCTGTCTTATCTTCTGTGAGATCATCACTAGCTTCATCTTCAGCAATACAAATTGCCCGGACAGCTTCACAGACCACATCTGTTTCCCGTAACCACTCTATTGCCAGTACACCTTATGTTCATCCATCAACATCACTTAGGTCATCCTACCATCAATCCCCCTCCCTAAGCATGAGCCGAAGCTCAGTAGATCTTAGGAATGCATCCCAAAGATCTCTAGCTTCTCACTTGAATTCACCACATTCCATGGGATATCCTTCTATGCCATCCCTTAACTCAAGGTACATGTCCCCGTATATTCCAAGTCCAAGCAATGCTTCAGTGAGTTATTTGGGTTCATCCAGTCATCAACAACATCCTCTCCGTTATAGTGAGTCGGCTGCAAGCTTCTCACCATTTGCATCGACACACTCCCTTCCGGAATGTTAAATTGTTCAATTTCATTATATCATATGATTGAGGTGTCCATGCACTTGAACCAGTAATTGCCGAGTCTTGAACTAAAAGGTGCCATTGATGACTGATGCTCTAGTGGACTACTCCTATGCGACACTACGGCATTCTTAACCTGTCTCCTTTGGCATTTGACTTCCTCATTGGCACCTGGTGTACATTGTAGCTTCTCTTGTGATGTTCAGTTTCATTTACATGTTCTGGTTGAGGTTCTTACGTTTTTAGGCTGGTGAGTTTGCGTACAGTCAATCGTGTGTATTGTTTTTGCTTTGAATTTGATGTTTTCATGGCTGCTTTGATTTCAAAGTACAGTCAACTACTAACAAGAAAATGTTGGGCTGTAGATTGAAGTCATAGAGTTCTTTATGTTGTTTTATGGATTTGTCCAACTGAATGATGAGAGATCATGTGATACTCTGTTGTTACCTGTACTTGATTATCTAATTGCAACAATATTATCAATTATGCACGTAAAATTTTCGTAGGGTGTGTAATAATGGATATGCTATTGTTGGCAAAAATCAACATATAGGTCTTACCCAAATGTAAACTTTTCTGGTTTCTTGATACAGAGAAAATCCATAATCTAGACATGTTAAATACCTTCAGTGGCATCTTCGATTAATAGTAAATTGGAATTTCTGTGCATGAAATTTTAATAGTACTCTCCATTTAGGATTACAAAAGTTGAAAAACTCGTGAGACACCCTCTTTGAATTAGGGGCCTTAAAATGGTTCTTAACTTTGCTTCCCTTCTTCCTAAACAAGACCGTAGTCTGGATTCTATGGAATCCTATAGAATTATTTTTGGTATCTATTTAATGTGGTAAAAATTATATATGAAATTAATTTTCTTGTGTTGAATATACATAAAATATTTTATTTATAATAAAAATAAATATGATATTAAGTTTAAAACATAAATAAAAAAATAATAAACTAATTAAAGAAAAAAAATAAAAGTAAAATATTTATATAAAATATTTAATAATTTTTTTCGAATTGATATATACAAATGGTATCAAAAATATTTTTCTAATAACTTTGACAAATGTAGTGGATGAGAAAAAAAAGTAACTCTAACTACTATGTTTAATATAATAAATTTTTTAATTAGTTTATTATTATTCTTTATTTAAATTTTAATTCATTTTTATATTATAAATAAAAGACACGGATATTCTTTATTTTCTATTTATAATATAAAAAATAGATTAAATCTAAAATTTAAATAAAAATAATAATAAATTAATTAAAAATATATTTAATAATCTAATATATGTAATCATTATTTTTATGATTTTTTATAGATTGTATATACAGTTGTATGTTTGGAGTTAGATGATGGAAACAAACATACATTGATTAGAAGAAATAATATATGGATTTTTTTGGCCTAACTTGTAATGAGGAAGATGATAGTGATACTTGTGGGTGTTAGGCTGCGACAAATAAAAGACGGGACAGGAGTAGACAACAATGAATGAAGGTTTGATTTAGAGAGAAAAATGTGAGTTTTAGAATCATTTTGTTTTACGTTATTGAATAAGAATATTCTTTTTCTATAATTAAATAAGATAATAAAATGTTTAAGACTATTTTGATACTTTTTTTCCTGCTAATTTTACTGACTTGCTTGGTAATCAATATAAAATGTAAAATATAATATAAAAATAAGATAAGAATATGATATAATAAGAGTAAGATAAATATTATTAATACCTTCTGTGTTTGATGCAAATTATTTTTATAATAATATATGCTACCAATGATGATATTCAATTTTGTAACAGTAACATAAAATAAAACCAAACAATTATTGTAACATGATAGAATTATTGTTAATTACATCATAATTAACTATCAAACATGATAATACATGTTGAGATTGTTGATAACATAAATAACTTTCTCCTGCCATTATTATATTTAACGATACAAATGAGAAGAAAGTTTAGGAAAAAAAAATCACATTTTAAAAGTTGATGTACTATAAGAAAGAAGACTTAATTGAATTTTCAGGGCATAAAACATCACTTCAGTACAGTTTTAGTTTTTCTTTTCAATTTTGTTGTGTGAATTAAGTTCTCATATTTTTTTCTCAATTGAAATTTTTTTAATTTTATTTTATTTTATCATATATTTATAGTTGATGATATTATGGGAAAAAATAATTTATTAATTAAAAAAATTCATCGATAATTACTAATTAATTGATAAATCAAAATTATTGGTGGCATACCAAGAATAAAATGTTCATAAATAAAATGTTTAGCAATAAATTTTATTTATAGATAGGAAAGTTCATGGGTAACTATTGATGATCAAAATACGTCGTTAGTTACAATAATCACCGGTTGATAAATATTTATTGGTAATCATCAATAATTTTGGTCACTAGTAATGATTTGTTGATAAATATCATAATTTGGTCTTTTACTTCTTTCTTTTTTTTATTTTTTCTCTTCTTCTTCTTTCTCATCTTTTGTTGTTGCTTTTTCTATCGTCATTGTTGTGTCCATTGAATTTGATTTCTCTTCTTCGTTATCCTCCTCTTCTTTCCTTCCTTATCCTTCGTCATTATTGTCATCTCTTCCTCTTTTTTCTTTTCCTCTTATTTTTTTCATTATCATACTCATATCCAATCATTTATAGGAAATATTTTTCTAGCATTTTTGAGAAAAATCAAAACCTATTTTATTGATGAATTTATTAGCAAATTTTAAAAATTTGAATAATCAACATATTTACCAACAATTTTCAAAAAAATTCAATTACTAACATACTTTCAAAAAATCCACTATTGACATACAAACAAATTTAAAATAAAAATCAATTACTAACAAATTTATCATGTTCAAAACTTGTAGCGGAAACTTTGGTTTACGTTTTACCTACAAAAATATAAATTTTTTTAAGGTTTTCTTTAAATATAATTTTATAATTAATTTAATAAAAAAATATTACTATTAAAAAATCGAAAGACTTTTTTCTAGACGCCTAAAAGAAGTATTTTTTGTGCTTGACCCTAGATTGGCCTGGGACATTCCTTAAGAAAAACGTTTGTGTTTGTGCAGCCTATGGGTAATGTCTTTGGACACAAGATATCTCATAATTATTTATTTACTACTGAAGATGACAGCACAATCCCAGTAAATGATGTTTTCTTAATTCTGCCATTAAGTCAATGGATTCAACCCAACACTTCCAACACTAACGTATGCGTCACACTCAGGTCATTGCATCAAAATTTCCAAATTATCATTTAAACACTTCTCATGCTTCGCTAATTGCATTTTGTTTTCCTTTCTTTCTTCTTTTTTATTCATTGCATTGACTCAAACTTATTGCATATATTATACCTATCACTCTTTCTTGCAATCGTGTATGATTCTCATCAATACTGTTTGATTCTCTTTTTTCAATAGATATATCTGCATATATACTCTTTAATAATATGTACTCTTTCATGTTACAAAAATTATGTGCTCTTTGACATGCATTGGAAAACCGATACAAAATTTGCATTATTTTCATTGGGAAGTCAATCCTATTGTTTCAGAAAAAATGTTAGTAATGTTTTGAGAACTATTAAAAATATTGTGTAACTTGTTAAACTGTAACGCATTGGGAATATAAGTTGTTGTTAGAATTTGAACATCAGGACCCTTACACTATACGCAACTCAAAAGATAAATAAACAAGNCTTGTTAAACTGTAACGCATTGGGAATATAAGTTGTTGTTAGAATTTGAACATCAGGACCCTTACACTATACGCAACTCAAAAGATAAATAAACAAGACACACCATACTCTATTAATATTTATCGCACTTTGAGTCTTGGACACCGTTTGACCACTCTTATTTTATATATTTGAATTTCTTAGAGACAAACGTTATCTTATATATATTGCCTTCTTTTCTAATAATTCAGAATCTTTTAACTCTAACTTAATATCTTTTAAATGAATGTAATATTATTTTAAAAAATGTATTTTGAAGGCAGTTAGTGGTAGTATGGTAGATATCATTCTGGGAAGTGTTCTCTGAGCAGGCATGGTTGTTTTGGGGAGGATTTTCCAAAGAGTGAAAGAGCCATTGTCTTGGGAGTTTTGAAGATGAAGCACCTAATATTTACTTGTGCAAATTCTGTCGGTGTGAGAAGCTATTTTTGCAACTTCGTATTACCATGACCATCATGATGGAAAATAAATAAATCATCGTGTACCTTTTATTGGACTACAAAATTATTCTCATTTCCAAATTAAAAACAAAACAGATCTTCCACTTTATCATTATTATGTTTCAACCATCATTTCTGCATTTATAGGTATACGGTGGCCCATATGTACCACTGCACAATAATTAGAATATGTAATAGTTGGAATTTGAGGCAATGATAGAGTTGTGTTATGGAAAAACAAGAAACAAATATATTTATGATGAAGGGAGGTTGTATTATTTATTCACCAAAATAGCGTTGGAAGAGAAAGAAGAAATTGTTCATCTGACAGAATAAGTTTCTGATATTCTGTCTCTCTTACTTTCCCACGTTCCCCGACAATCATCAATTATCAACTTTCACACATATTCACAAAATATGCAATATTTTCAATATCTTTTTTATTATTTTTCGAACCTTCTTCTGCTTTTGTTTTTTCGTTTTTCACAAAAACAAAACACAAACTACACGTATAAATTTTTCTGAAGGTAGAGAATCTCCATCCATGTGTTGGTGACCTGTTATTTTCTAATATTTAGTGCCATGAAACTAACTCTCGATTTTTGGTCAACTTTTTATAATTTTCTTTTTTTAATATATTTAAATATCTTATCTTAGGTCAGAATCATCTAACACCCTTGTTGCTGTTTAGTAATATATCCAAATGGTTAAAAGTTATTTAATGTTCGTTGAGCAACACTCGCAAGAAGGCATGTGATATGAATAAGTATCAAATGTGACATCAAGACAATATATAATTCATTTGATTAAAAGCTTTAAGAACTAGTGTACACTTTAAATATTTATATATTGTGATTTTTTTTATTAAAAATATCAAAATTACATGTTTACGCTTCGTTATTTTAAATTTAGAATCGCATAAAAATATAATTATTGAAAAAATTAATTTACAAAAAACTTCATGTAGCTTTAAAAAATTAGTTATTCGTCACACTACTTATTTTAACATTAAAATATAAAGCTAATAGCTAATAATATATTATATAAACATTAATATAAATTATTATTAAGATGTTGGGTGGTAAGATATTATATTAATAAATTATTATAATATAAACACATATCCATATATCTCCACATTGGTAAGATATTGTCCGCTTTGGACTAAGTCCTCACGGATTTGTTTTTGGTATCATTCCAAAAGGCCTCTTACTAAGAGAGATATCGTATGTATATATAAACCCTAGACGTGAGACTTTGTTTGTATCCAACAATAATATAATATGATTAAATGATAAGCGTCAATTAATCCTGTTTTGTTAAACAAAGTTTAAAAGTCACTAACAAAACAACTTATGTTGTTATTATTGTATATGTATAGAACTTTCATAAAATATCCTAAAGGAAATGAGAAAGTAGTTTTAATAAAATTTATTCCGCAGAATTTCCAAAAATTAGAGAACGTAATTAATTAGTAAAATTTTAAAAGAAGTTGTTTGTGCAAAATAAAAGCTATCTTGTATAATGCAGTGTTAAGCCATATTAATTTCTTCCTTAAAACAGAATAGATTAAATATGTGTGGTTGGAGACTGTCACAAAGTCTATTTGTATGAAAAAAAACACACTTTAAAAGAAAGAAAAAACACTTCATTACATAGTCTCAATACTTGAGGAATTTTGACTAAAATTACAAGCAAATTTCATTAAAAATAATCTTGGAACTACTTGAAATGAACACATTTTACACTTGACTGAACGAACAGGGTTTGAAGAAATAAAAAAAATAGAAAATGAAAACTTTCATTCAATATGAGATTAATGTTAGGTTTAAATCCTTACTTCGTCCTTATGTTAAGAGGTGAATTTCTGTTTAGTATCCGATTTTTTAAAAATATAAACATTTGGTCTCTATGTTATCAAAATTGTGTAACTTTAGTTCCCGTTAACTTGTAGGAACGGCCTTAACTCCGTGGTGCATTTTAATTAAAATTTAAATTAACTTTAGTCATATCAAAATTGTATGATTAAAATTGTATGATTAAAGTAATTAATCATACATTTAATTAAAATCGTGAAAGGATTAAATAAAGTTTTGAACAACTTTCCCAAAACTAGAATTACGCCAAAGTAGTGCAAAAATTAAACGACTTATACCACAAAAATGAAATGCACACTGATAACGTGCATGGAGATGACAACTACAAACTCTTTTTTTTTTTTTTTAATTTTACTTCTAAGAATTCGTGAAGTTATTACACCACTTTTTCAATTTTTCCAAATTAGACTTTTGCCTTTTTTCTGATTCTTTTTTTTTTAATTTTTATATTAGTTTGATTGATTAATGTTTATCTTGCTTTTAACGCTTTCCAATTTTTATATAATTATGTTTTTCCCATTTTTAAATATTTATTTAAATAATTTATTTTTTCAATTTTGCTTATTTTAAATTATTATTTTTGAATAATTCTATTAATAATTTTTTAAAATTTGTGTAAACATTTTTTTTGTTTTAATATATATTTTTAACATTTTACTAGTAAATAAAAATTAAAATTTTATAACTATTTTTTACTTTTTTTCTTTTTAAAACTTTTTTATACAAATATTTTTATATATAAATTTAAAAAAACATTAAAAAGATTTAAAAAAACTATTAATGAAACTGATGTAAATATTTAAAAACAAAACAAAATTAAAAAGGGTAAAACAATATTTTAGAAGCCCTAAAGTAAAAATACGCCCTCTTCTAATTTTTCACAATTTTTTTTTCTGAAATATGATTAGTTTTTTTATTTAAAAACTCTAACAATTTCAAAAATGAAATTAATAAGAAAGGACGAAATTAAAAAATAAAAAGGTAAAACAATATTTTAGAAGCCGTGAAGTAATAAAATTTTCTTTTTTAAGCTTGTTTTGTTTTTAAATATTTTCATCAATTTGGTTAATGAATTTTTAATCTTTTTAATGTTGTGAAAAATATATATTAGACAAAAAAGATGTTTGCACAAATTTTAAAAAAATTATTAATAAAATTATTCAAAAAATAGTAATATAAAATAAGCAAAATTTAAAAAATTAAATTACTTAAATAAACATTTATAAATGGAAAAAAAATTATATCAAAATTGAAAAGCATTAAAATAAATAAACATTGATTAATGAAAACTAGAAGGAAAAAATGAAAAAAAAATAAAGAAAGCATCAGAAAAAGAAAAATAGAAAGATAATTTAGAAAAATGAAAGAAGTCGTGTGTAATAACTTCACGACTTCTGAGTAAAATTAAAAAAGTAAAAAATTCTTTATGCAAAAAGTTGTTATTTTCTTGTAGGATTCAGTGTATGTGATTTTTTTTTCTTAAAAGTTGTCTAATTTTTGCATAACTTCAATGTTATTTTGGTTTTGGAGGAAGTCAGGAAACCAATGCATGACTAAATAGAAATTCTTCAACCCTTTTACGATTTTGATTAAGTGTATGATTAATTACATTAATTTTTATGAAAATTGTGTTTAAACTTTACGACTTCTTTACAAACCCTGTTCATAATTTAAAAAAGAAAATCCAGATACGAAATTTAAAAAGCAAAATGAAGCCATAATGTTATCATGAAAACCATGGTTGGTAGGACTAACTATCATCCCATTTTTCTGTTTTCCAGAGTAGCCCACTACCACTTAATTGCAACTGTTAAATTGGTTGAAGCGTTTAATGCACAATATATAGTTAATTACATTTAAAAAGCCTTTTTCTTATCAGTATAATATATCTCAATGAGGAGCACATTTATTCCCGTGAGGATAACAGTATACACCTCATCAAGTAGCAATTTAATGTGTAATCCAATTGAAAAACTGGTTACATATCTGATGCTAAAATGTTGCCTACCTGTACATCATGTACTTCCCATTCAACATTAGCATCTGCTACTGCAAGTAACTTCTTCCAATTTCCAGTTTCTGTAGATTTGTTTTTATTTTGTTTCAAGTACATTATTAGTGACACCATAGCTTACCTCATCATCCTTTTTCAATAATAAAACCAACCTACATTGCACTCTCATTCACTTTCACTCCCTTTTTTTAGTGCTCTTTTCAGCATATCAGTTATGATAACCAAGAGATAATGCTATTTCACAAGGCAGATGGGCCTATTGTTCATTATACACTCTCAGCTTTCAGCACATCCACTACCGTAAAACATGACATAAAGATAAAAGGGGTTTTTGGCTTTGACCTTTACACCAACACACACCCTTAAAACATCAACATAATGCTCTTATTTTCTATCAATATCCATGTATTTAACTAGGTAGTAGATCTGTCATCACAAATGCATTGAATATATTGAAACCATGTGGGGGAAAACCAGATGGACCCATTTACATTACTTTAGCTCTAAGATTGTCTAAATCAATTATGATGTAGTTGAATCATCATACTCGGTGCTTCCACCCTTGTCTCTTCTTTTTCCTCTAAAATACGATATCTTTTTCCCGTAACGGAGGTTACGTAGAGTAATGTATCAGATAAATGTGTTTCTACAAATAGTTAAACTCCACTTAGTCAATAGTAAACTTAACTAGGAGTAGGTTGGTTTATTAGAAAAAAAAAACATTTTACTCCACATTCTTATATCTGTCCCACACGTGTAATTTTGGGTATTATAAATGCACGTTAAAACCTACAAGTACACCATTATAATAATCTAAAAACATTTTCTCACTTTTGGTTGTTAAAAATCTACACGCAAGTGTCACTAAATGCTAAAACCAAACGGAGCATGTGAACTTAAATTGATTGTACTGTGATATGTACAAAACAAATCAGTGAAGGTTTTATTTTTGTTTCAGCGCAATCCCAGAGATGATGAAAAAAACACACTATTCAGGATCCATATCTTTGAAAAATTCTTAAGGACCTGAAATGCGATCTCTCACCTTATTAGAAAAAGGAAAATACGTAGGAAGATGCACTCTTTTTTATATATCTTACACTGCAGAACAATAAAAGGGTGCACTCAATTTGTGAAAAGATATCCAAAATTTTAATATATTCTAGGAATCAGAATGATAGGGAGAGATATATCATCTCGGGTGGTCATGGTCATGATTTCTTTCACCACTAACTATGATCTTATAAAAATATTTAAAAAGGTGTACTAATTCTACAGCCAGCTCATTAGTATAGCATGATTTAGATAGAGTCTATCTCAAGCCTTACATGTTTGTTTAGGGTAGTTTTGTACAGATAGACTACAGAGTTTACGTACTTGTGTTGGTTTCAAAGAAAGAGAAGGCTCTGAAATCTTTGAGAATCACATTCATACGTACATACGATATACATACTTAGAAAATACAAAATGTGCACAAAAGAAAATAATATGTCAGTCTCTTCCACTGTGGTCCAGTGCACTGTTTCCGCATGGGATCATGTAATTTTCAGCATCATGTGTTTTTGTCACATGAAATACAGCAAAGAGAGTATATTTTGTATTTAGAGATTTAGATGTTTGGTACCCAAAAAACAAAAAGCAGTGATAAAAATAAATGAAGAAAAATAAGAGTCATGAGTGATCTCTAAATTAACAGAAGGAGACAAAGCACTACTTCCTATAGTTGTATTAACATATTACAATAAGTTGGGTTTCCAAAGACAGACTTGTCTTCACATACCATATTTTAGAAGCTAAAAAACAAAGATCAAGGTTTAAAAAAATTAAGAAAAGAGGGAAAGAAATACCTCTTTCTGGGTTTTCTTACAACAACATGAACAAGGACAATTAACAGCTAGGCATCATCACAATTAACAAGCTTAGAGGGACCTGGGACTAACATCTGCACATGTGCTTCTTCTTGAGCTTGGAAGGTAGACTAAAGACTCAGAAACAGCACAAGTACTCTTGCAAGAACCATAAAGGCTGATGAATCCAAAACGATCACTCACACTCCTTGGCACCTTAGCTCCACTCCACAAATTGCTACTTGTTTCTTCACTATCATCCTTTGAGCATTCCACCAGTGCAGCAAAGAAAGGATCCCTTTGGAATACACTTTGTACTGAGTTCTTCTTCCTCACCCTTGTTTCTTCATGACTGAGCTTCTTAGAAGAGCGTGTGGTGGTGGGTGGGGGCAATGGTAATAGTTTCAACGATGACTCCTGCAGCTTCTTTTTGGAATTCTGTTTCTTGGGAATTCCAGGCAAGTGTTCCCAAGAAAACGGAACACCCGAGAATCTAATAAGTGGAGATGCAGGACTAAGAAGAGGATCCTCCGGGAAATAGAATGATTCAAAGGAGGAAGATGAGGATGAGGAATGAGTCCTGCGAGATGAATGGTACTTTCCTGCATGGAAGATGTCACATTGTTTTGGAACAACCTTCGCATGCTCACTAACACTTGCTCCTGATGATGATGAAGAAGAATCCATTGTGTTCCTTTCAGCAAGAGAAAAGATGTCTCACAAAACTCTCTCTCTTTCTCTCTCTCTCTCTCTCTCTCTCTCTCTTTCTCTACCTCTCATTGCACATTTTATTATATAGGCACACAGACAGATACATATGTACCACTCCTATTTTAACACCACTTTATTTTGTTTATGCACTTCAACTTAAACTAATGAAAATCATATATATAGCTATACTTTTTAAACAACTATTATAAAACTTCAATATTGATAACTCAAGTATACAATCTTTAATATATTGGATAACAGTACTGGCTATAACCATTACTGATACGATCAATTTTTACATTTTATTACCACTAATTAACTTTTTAAGATGATACACAAGATTTTTTTCTCTGATTAGAAAAGAAAAAAGTAATTTATATATTAAATGAGGTTGGTGGAAAAATGTGGTTTGTGGGATGAGAAGGAAAAAGAAGAATGATAAAAAAAAGACATAGCATTGATGGAGGGGAGAAGTGGAAAAGATGGGGATGATAAAGGCATGTTTTAAATAGGGAGGTTACCATAAAGAGTGGTTAGAAAGCAATCACATGGATGGATGGCCAAAAATGAGGAATTGCATTTGCAGAGTGCAGTGTAGGTTTGATTCAATTCGCTTGTCTGTGTTCGTTTCGAAGAGTAGCTCGTCAATTTCTTCTAAAAAATCTACATATCAAACCATAAATGCACACAGCATATGTTTCTATGTCTCCTTCACTCTCATTTTGTTTACTTCCATTTCTAAAACCTCACCTTCTCCCATCCCTTACAGATTTTCACTTTCAACATTCTCTCAGTAAGTCACGATTGTCTCTCCTCCAATTTCTTCTGCCACTCTAAAACAACATCATCGGGTAAAGTTTTTCCCCACTTGTTCCGACCAAAACTATTTTTTTATAGAATAAAACTTACGGTGGAGTTTGTTCACATTTATGTTTTCTTAATAATTCAATGTTTTCTGAATATATAATAAAATCTTTTTTATTTTTTTATGATTGTCTCCAAACTAAGATATAAGACTTTGATGATCATGTACTTATCAAAATAGTAAATTTTCAGTTCCGGGCAGGTTGCTTATGGTAATTGAATATATTTTGATTTGATCACCTAACTCAAAAACAGACAGAGGATACCTTTCCCATTTTAAATTTTTGTTACACAATATTGGAGTTGCTGTTTTGGATTGTGAAGTAAAACAAATTAATAAAATAGGTCAAGTAGACACGATTTTTCTTAGTTAAATCTTGACTTTCAATTTTATTTTTTTATCAAAATAATATGGAAAATTTTCATTGACGAGTTTCCATAAATTACCCAAAGATTCCAAAAATTCTACACAACTTTTTAATTTTGTTTTGAAATTGTATTTCTTTTTATATGCATACCTTCCTTAAATTGTTTAAATAATTACATATAGAAATGGATGGAAAATGATGAATAGACATGCACGTTGTTTTTATCTAAATTAAGAAAGAGATAAATGATAGAAGAGAAGAAATGTAAGTGACGTGATAATATAAAAAGATATGAAAACGATTATTGTGAATAGATTATTTATTTATTTATTTTTGTAATTAAAGTTTGCTCATACATCGTTATTCTTATTTGAAAATGAGTCCAGGTCGTGTACGTGTGGGTTTTATAACCTTTGATTAATCCGTAATAATCACACATTTTATACGATCGTAAAATATTAGAATTCAAGTGTGAGTTTAAGTCCCACGTTGGATATAAATAAAAAAGTAGACTCATTAATCCATTGTCTTAAGGTTTTAAGTAAAGAATGGTGTCAATCCCTTACATAATTGACTCAGATGCTATTAGTGTTTGTGTAACGCGACAGGGAACATCTCCTCGATAGACCCAACAAGCTCCATTTTTATATAAGAATGGAAGTAATAAATATTAATTATTAAATTTTGTTATAAATAGTGAAAAAAAAACTAATTTTATTAAAATTTGTAATTTTTTTAAAAAAACTTTATTGGTTTTCTTTTCGTAAAAGGATTGATATCCTTTACTGAATTAGGCATGACTAGAATTGTTTCAATGATATAATCAAATTATAAAAATAAATAAATACAAATAAACAAATATAAAAGATAAAATATAATATATATGATATATTTAACCCATTTTCTCAAACTTGTATATAAATTATATGTATCAAGTTTATTACAAATATAATCAATTATTGATCACCGAAAAAACTTAGTGAAAATATCTATTAACTGATCATTTGAGTTAACTAATATTATCTTTATGTTTCTAGATACAATCTTGACAATCAATGTGTTTGGTCACGAAAGACAAAATTAAAATTAATATGAATAGCAGTTTGATTGTTACACATAAATGACATCTTCAAATTGTAACTTCTTAAGCAATTGTTTAAGCAAAACAAGTTTACAAGCCATATAGCTCTATATTTTGCTTCTCCACTTGATCTTGACATAACACTTTGTTTTTTGCTCTTTTAAAATATCAAGCTACCACCAATAGAGACACAATATATGAAAGTAGATATTTTATTAGAGGAGATCCTGTCAAAACAGTATTTGATTAACAAACAAATCTTGTATGGTTATTGGAACCCATAACAAACATTTTCCCGAAGATCCACTACTTTAATATGCAGATGATTGTATTCCAATGATTTTCATATGAGAAACTAAGAAATTGACTCACCACACTAACTCCAAAAGAAATGTCAGGATGAGTAACATAATTCAATTTTCCAACTAATCTTTTATATTACTCAAGATCTGAAATTGACTCTCTTAATTTGGTAAGAGTTTGATATTAGGATCCATGAGTGTGTCAACATATTTTGAATTCGCCAACCCAATTAAGGCTCAAACTCATTGCTTTGATACTATGTTAAATATAATGAAAAACTAGGTATAAAATTAATCTCTCTTGTGTAAAAAATACACATAGGATATTGTATTTATAATAAAAAGAATGATTTTACAAAATCATGATAGAAAAAACGATAATAACATATAAATAGAAGATATAAGATAAGATATAAGATATTTAATATATCTAACATATAATACTACAAGAAGAAGAAACTAAATGAACCAAGAATTTAACTTGTTAGACAAAGTCATCATAATATAACATAAAAACTCCAAATTCAGAGAAAAATCATAGTCGTTGTCTAAAGATAATGAGAGAATAACAATATATAAAAATTTGTATAACATAGACAATACTCTTAAACTCTTTGATCCCAAGTACTTCCACGATTTCTTGAGCAAAAATTTAACTATATCTCACAACACTATTATTAGAGTATATAAAAAATCAAACACAAGCTCAAAGTGTCTTGAACTAATTAAAATCATAAATTTATTGTCCATTATATAGCGACTAACATTCAGTCCTTTATTATCTTAGATAACGTGAGATTTTCCAAGATACATTAAATTTTATCATGCTCAACATTTAATATGTGACATATTATTATTCAATGAAAATCTTATAACATGATGATTTTCTCCTCATGAATCTTAAGTACTTCTATTTTTCTAACAAGGTGTAATGAATGATACTCTCATAATATCTCTTTCGAGAAATAATAATTCTCTCTCTGTTTTTTTAAGTATGAAATGCATGCAAGAATGAGAGAACATCTTTTTTAAAAGAGTTTTGATATTACTAATTGATATTGTACTATACGAAATATACACTGATTAGAGTTAATGATCATTTATGGGTAGTTAGCAGGTATATTAGCACGTATTAATGAGTTACATTACCTTACGCTTTACAAATATACCGTGTTAATAATTGATTATTGGTTCTAAAAATATAATGCGTTAATGGTTAATCAATGTGTTGGGCTGCCACTAGCTCTATAAATATATACAATTGATGTCCAGGTAAAATAATCTTGATCTATCCTAATGAAATAGAGACCTCTCTATGAAACATATCTTGAGCGTCACAGTGTCTTCTGCAGCTCAACGACTCATCGAAGTGAATTACATTCTCAGAGAGGATTAGACGATCAAAAGAGAGCAGAGCAAAAAAGAACGACCGACCATCGGACCAAATCAACCAAAACAGATATGAAATACACTTTTATTATTATATTTTCGTGTAATATATAAACCATTTTGAATTAATAATCAATTGTTATTAAACATATTCCATCTCAAATGATTTTTTTTCTAAAGGCCTAACATAATTACACTACTATCAGAATTATTTATAAATAATTACATAAGGATTAAAATCCATATATAAATTATGTATTACATATAAATTATACATACATAGGTAAAATCTCGTTGTATATGATTTTTTTTTGTACGTAACAACAAATTAGTTTCTTTCCTTTTTTTTTTCCAGTATGTAAATGAAGGTATACCTTTCATACAAAATTTACATACAAATTAATAAAAAATATATTAAAAAATGATTTCTTTTGTAGTATTAATTATTGTATAAAATAATTATTTTTAAACATGTAAAAACCACTATAATTTATTATTGTTAAAAAGAACAAAAAATCAAATTTTCAATAGAAATTTTTTCAATTATATTAAAAAATATTCATGCTTTATATTTAAATCAAATTAAATTAAGATGATAAATCATGAAGTGAGTAACCTAATATAAGTAGAATCATCATGAAATTAACACATGCTTTGCTAACACATATGTGATTTATGTAGCTTGTTAGAAGTGTAGAATTGATAAATTTTTAGTTGTTGCCAATGTTTTCTGTAGTCATGGTGTCAATTTGAAATTACTAATTAAATCTTAATATATATTTAATTATATTTAAAACTATTAAAATATATTTTTGAAATTATAATTTTAAGAAAAAGTTGTATATGTGTGTGTTTTCTAAATCAGATATAAATTAGTAATTTTAATTTTATTAATTTTAGTTATTGAAAAATATTAACATAAAGTTTTGTTGAAAATTTGAAGTTCTAAAAACTGTCATAAATAGTTTCTTTAATTGGAATAGGATTGTTGAATGGGTGAAAATTGCAACATCATTTCCAACAACTTGTACTGCTGTATGAAACTAACAGTAGTCCAATTTAAAGCTGTTGTATGCAAATAGACCAATTCAAAGCTTTGATAGCATGAAAATTTATCTCAATCGTGACAAGGATATTTGGTCGAAAGATTCAACAAATACTATAAGAGTGACTTTTTGTCTATGGAGGGAGTTTACGGGGAGGACTCTTCCCTACCCAACATCTTAAGATAATGAATTAATGAGTTTTTCGTTTTTATACAGTGTTCTATTTTCTCATTCGTGGAACTTAGACTCGTACTTTGATTCATCTGACAGTATTTGTAACCCAGAAGAACTCCCCATTTGAATAAAAAAAAGCTTTTCTTCAATGACAAACCCATGAAGAAGATGCTCCAGATTGTGGTTACAGAAAAACATTCTTAATCCAACGGGATGAACATTGTGATGCAGGGGAAGATCAACATAATTTGTATCACATTTATTGAATGTTCCAAACCTGCTGGTGCACGGCAGACACGTCGTAAATGGTGGGAAATTGAACTTTTGTTTATCAATTTTTCGGGCCTATTGGAAGGAGTTGGGTATTAACAATCAAAACTTAGGCACGATATGGATAATATAGACTCATCTTTTCGTTTAAAACTTATAACTGCGAAACACTACAATATCAATATATTATTTATTTCTTGGTAGCAAAATCACATACTAATCTTTAAAAAATGATATAACATATATATAGTAAATTTATATATTTAAATTTATTTTATTTGTGCATGACACTATGAAATGAATGGTGAGTGACTTCCTCCCAACTCTGTACTCCGAGCCCTCTGCTACATAACAACAGGCTGGGAAGCTTCCAAATTCCGAGAATAGTGGGTGGACGTGTTTTGGACTATTAATAATGTTTCTGATACTTTCCATTACCAATTTCCAATGAAAAGAAATAGAAGAGCTAGGAGCCGTAAAAAAACCTGAAGATTATATTATTTATACATATATATATATATATATATATATATATATATATATATTCCATTAGGAAGAAATGTCTTTATTTCTTCCTTACATTCCGAATACAGAATGAACTTAGAGAGAGCGATTTGAAATCCAAATCTACAATTACACTTCTTTTCTCTCTTTCACTTCAATGTTGCTTGTTAATGATTCTCTAACTTTACAATTACAACAGAAAATCTCTCATTCATATTACAGTTAGTACGAATCAACTAGCCAGACCGGCCCAGTGTAAAAGTGGTCACTGCTGCACTAGGAGCCAACAAATTGATCCATCCTTCTCTGCATTAATTCAAGCATTCCCAAAAGAACCGAATCAGAAATTTTCAACTCTTGATACGCCTCAATGCAAGGTAAGCCAATAATCTGTAGAACACAAACATGAAAAGCAGCACCCCAATGCAGCCCAGAGTGCCAATTTGCCCCACCACATCCTCTTCAACAAACCTGCAGCCACCCTTATCACCATGATCGCAGCCTAATAGATAAGATATCTTCTTGCCATCCTCATATTGGATTCTAGTCAGCAGCCTATAACAGTAGAAGGTTGTGGATATATATTTGATCCAAGCCATGCAAGATGGCACCTGATGGACATAGTATCCACCGGTCAACACAAATGCAAGCATTGTCACTGCTGCCACTGTGGAAGCCTGTTTCGCATCCATTATTGCTGCACCTAAAGCAAGTCCAAGACCCTGTGACACCATCACGTATCCAAGCACAACCAACAAAGTCAACACAAAAGCCCAAAAATCTGGCTTTAATCCACCCATCCAATATGTAATAACTAGGAAAATCGTGGGAAGGATAAGCTCCATGGGCAGGTCTCCAACAATTCGAGCCATGAAATAGGAGGACAATTTGTACATGCCAGAAGCTCGCTCTTTCATAAAGATGGCACGTTCTTGAGGGAATGCAAATACTGAGTTAAATGACGGGAAGACTCCCCAGAAGATGGAAATGAAGAAGAGTAGGCCAAGCCTATCTTGAATGTTCCTGTAATCTGAATGCCACCACATTAAACCAGCTAATAGTGCTGCAGCAATAACTTGAGAGACTCTCAGAGTGTTGAAGGATTCGTGTTTTCTTTCTTTGAGGCTCCTCTGGAGTAGGATACTGAATTGGTAAAACCAATCAAAGAAGCTAACCCTGTTGCTACGTCTACATTCTTTCGAACAGCTGCTTCTCAAAGGATTTGTGCTTTTTGTAGGAATACTAGCAGTGTCCATGCAGGCAGCTTTTACCTTGGGACCCAGTATTGTGTTGTATGAATGGATTAGGTTTTGTTTTATGTTTGGTCTATCTTTTTCACTTTGACCATCGACGTGGCTAACACCTGCAGGATTCAAGGGTAAACTTGATTAATATCGTAGAATTCCCCACTCGTAAAACTATATAAAGTTCATTCTATCGTTATGCATTCCAATTGTGGAGATAAGAACTATTATGTGAATAAACCAACTGGACAGGCGAAAAATAACCAAAAAAATAAAAGCACGGTAATTGTCTAGTGATAATATTTATATAAATAATAATAGTTTGACAACATTTTAACACTATCTACTTGTTATTATGTGATTGGTCCATGTTGGTGTTTATGATTATTATTATTGATTATAAAGTAATTTTGCAATCAAATGATGTTAAAATGTTATCAAAGTATTGTTATCCTGTATATATCAAACAAATTTCAAATTTTGTTAAAAGACATATATTTCCAACAAATAAGTTTGGGTTTTTTCAGAACAAGCTTCATATTGCTAGTTGGCTAAAATTATATATTATTCAACTTCCCAATTCAGTAAGAAAAAGCGTATAGTATACCACCACAGACAAAGTAGGAATGGATAATCCACAATAAAACGAGAGATTGAAGACTTCAACCAAAAGTCCTTATCTAAAGGAACATAAGTTATATTATTCATATAATAATTAAATTTATATAAGATTTTATGATTTTTTTTGGATTTTTTTTCTATAACATTAATCATCTTATCTCATTCTTCTGTCTCGTTGCTATACATTTTATTATATTAGAAATAAAATTTATATATGGAAATACAATTTCTCCACCGACAGTGGAATAAACTACCGTAAAAGTGAAGATGCACAGCACCAAGGCGATGCCTTATGGGAAAATATTGTAAAAAGCGTTGCGTATTGCATAAAAAAAATAGTGAAGCAGAAGAAGCTACAAAGTATAGGATAGGTGGAACCAGGGATAAAGTGAATGAAAATATGTTTGAATTAATTGAACAAGTACTTGAGTATTCAAAAAGAGCTGATTAGAGGGATGAACGTGCTTAAATAGGGCAGTGGGACTCGTAAAAGCTGACTTATGTTAGTGTTATGGTGAGTCTCCACTAAGATTGGTGCTGGCACTGCTGACTGGGCCACTAGCTCCCACTTTGATTTGCATAATATCAATGTAGCTATTTACTTTCATTTCATTACACCTTTCTGCCATCAGACTTCACTTTTCGGGAGAAATGTTTTTATGGATGTAAAGCTACCCAACACGTGTATCTCTCTAACACATCCTAAGACAAGAGATTCTAAAAAAGTGGGAGGAAAAGAGAAAAAGAAACAAAGTGAACGGAAAAGAGAATCAGTGCAAAATTGGCCAGATCATTGTCAAAGAAGTGAAGGTCAAGTTTTTTTCCCAGATATAATGATGAACAGGGAACAGCCCCAAGACCATATGCTCGAGTAACTCAAGGGCACTGATTAAAACATTAGGGGAGTAAACGTGCAACAATACAAAATATCAAGATGACATACTACTGGTAAAGATAAATCCTCTAAACCCCAATTTAATACCTCTTATACCCCTAAAGTTTATGAGAGGGGTAAATTACTTGAGAATTTTATCACAATTGTTTAAGGGTAGACAGGGATTTAGTGTGCCACCTTTCCCAGGTGCTCTTTGTATTATTTTTCCTTTTAACAGCGGTTGATGGTTTCTCACGCTATCAATGGCGTCATGAACCTTAATATCGACATTATCATCATGGTCCCAAGAATCAACGAAAAAGGTTAAGAGAGGCACATATCCTATAACAATACTTTAGTGCCAAAGGTGTTGAACTCCATATTAGATAAAAATACCTAGTCAAAGAGCACTTACCACAGAGCTACTAATTTATGAAATAATAAATAATAGATTGTGGTTAGTGATATCACCAACCAAAATCTAGCCATACTAAAAGAAGCAAACAGAAGCACCAATAAAAAGGCCAATTATCTACAACTCAAAGACTCCGGTCCACTACCTAAGTATTTCCAACTTTATGCCATATGCACGTTCTCTTTTGACAGCCCACAAATAACTTTAGTCCACATGGCATGCCGTTTTCAAAGACTATTACACTCATCCAATTACACCTGTCCTTCAACAGACGCTAAAAGTTGAAAATTATTGAGGGGCTTATACTTACTTCATATCTTGTGAAACCAATTGCATAACAATCTCTGCTACGTTTGAACTTGACAAAAGGAACTAAAAACAAAGACGTTTAGTTGAAAAAGAAAAGAGAAAAATGCAAAATTATCCTGTTTAAATTTGGAGACAGTCTGATTTTGTGAATTATATCTGCACGAAAATGTTACTTTCTACTCTAATAATTTTTTTGTCCTCTTACAAACTCAACCCAAATGCCTATTTTGGACATCACAACAAAAGTATTGTCGATTTTGATGTTATTCTTTCTAAAGGATATCAGATCAACTTGTTCCTATATTGAAAGGATATGGTTGATGGTTATGGTAACAAAGGGCCACACTGCATACGTCCATGAGCTCATGATATGCATCCTGCTATTTTCTTCTAAATTTAGAATATATCTGGACCCACATGAAAATTGACACGATACTGAATTTGATCGGGAATTGGAAACTCCAAGCTACTTTCTTTGTTTCATAAAAGACACTCTTCTGAGGTGATCTATCTAATCACTTGATTTCCCATCATGCATCTCCTGTTTCCTCTTCTCCTTCCTGTTTCCACTCCATTATCAACACGCCCCTAATTCCCTCCACATCCTATAAAATTCATTATTTAAAATCTTAAACGCCCAGCTTAATTCTAAAATGCCTGGTGAAACTAGACATTGAAAAATTTACTTATCAAACTGCTAGTTTTAGAGAGGGAAAATCGCATGCCTTGTTGGAAGAGGCAATGGCAGAAATTTGGTTTGGCCAAGAAGAAACAGTATTGGCCCTATAGGGATGAAAAAATTTGGACTGAGAAAAGAGAGGGAAAACTAGAAGTATAAGGAGTCAAATCAGGTTGTCCCTGAAAAGAGAAAACTAAAGCAGGAAAAAGTAGACCAACGACATACAGTTCCAAAAAAAGAGGACACGTGGTAAGCATCAGCAAATTGTTTATGTAAAGCATCCCAATATTGATACAAAATCAAAACCCATTACGTATCTAATCGATTCGTTCCACTCAGAGAGAAATCTTTATCTTTCTCTCCTAGCTTATACCTAAAATATACCTTTATTAAATGAAAAATTATTACACGGGCGAAAAACAGAAAGAAAAGTGAAATTATATAATAAGAGATGTTATGTTATAATAAATTTAAAAATCATCTTTATTATTACAAAATATTCTTTACACTAATAAACGACATCACCACTACCAAAGTTCGAATGGCCAACTCATTTAAAATAAAAAAGGTGATTTACAAGATTTTTTTAACTACATCTTATTTCTTTCTAGGAGTGATCCGAATATTAGAGTGATCGCTATTAAATTTCCACTAAAGAGACCCAACAAAGGAAAAGGGATCGGCAAGAAATGAAAAAGTAGTTTGATAAGTCTTATTCGAATCCCCTGAGTATTAATTTCAGAAATAGAACCCTAATATATTTTTCTCAATACTTATAGTAAGAAACATCAACGAATGTTAATATTTTATTTGTATTTTAACATAAACCAAGTGAAAGTGAGTGTGTATAAAAGCAGGATGTAGATAGTATTAACTAAATAGAAAAATGGATTTTAATGAGGAAGAAGGGCCAAAATGGGTGAGAAAAGGAGTTGAGTCGAGGACCATAATATCACGCAATCATAGCAAGAAGGAACAGAGAGTTACATAACAACATGATGTCCGCCACTGTTGTTCAACTTATTGCCCTTTAGCCCCGAATGACGTTCATTAATTCGTTTTACGAACACACGCTCACCCATCATGCCCATATACCAAACATTCTACCCCACACCATCACACTACACACATTACCATAAGTCTTACAATAACCACTAGAAAGATAGATACATATCATATCAACTTATCAACCTCAATCACAAACACACACAAAAACACTTCCTTGGAAGCCAACATCACTCACCACTAATAATTCACACCAATCAAAAACACACACAGCAAAAACAATTGAAACCGACACACCACAAGCAGTTGTAACAAGTTAAACTGTAATTCGTTAAGAAATAGAAACGATTGAAACTGTGACGTACCGTTTGCGAGATCGAGTAGAAAATCCGCCGGATTCATCGGAAATGACGGCGCGAAACCAACCGACTGAAAGTACCGCATGGCGTCGCTTCCTTTGCCGAAGTACAAACACTGTCCTTCAGAAAGCAACACAACTTTATCGAACATCTGGTACACACGGCTGGAAGGTTGGTGCACCGATGTGATTACACTTTTGCCCTTCTTCGCCAGTGACCCAAGCGTCACCACGAGGCGGTGCGCCGCCGTCGAGTCCAGACCGGAGGTGGGCTCGTCCAGGATCAGCAGCGAGGGGTCCACCAGCATCTCGTGCGCGATGCTCACGCGCTTCCGCTCCCCGCCGGAGACGCCGCGGATGAAGCTGTTTCCTATTATCGTGTGCTCGCACTTCCTCAGCCCCAGCTCCGCGATGGTCGACTCCGCCGCCGCAACCTTCGCCGCGCGCGGAAGCGCGCGAGGGAGGCGCAGCATAGCGCAGAACACCAGCGTCTCCCGAACCGTGAGATGCGGGTAGAGGATGTCGTCCTGTGTAACGAAGCCGGTTCTCCGAAGAACCGATTTGTTGAGTTTGCTGGAGTTGGCCAGGATTGTTCCGGCGAGGCCGTTCCCATGGAGCCTCCCTGCGAGCGCGTTTAGGAGCGTCGATTTTCCGCTTCCCGATGGGCCTAGTACCGCTAAGATCTCCCCGGGGTGTACTATTCCCGTGACGCCTTTTAAAATAACTCGCTCCTGCGGCACGGCTGGGCTTGATCCTTGATGAGATGGCGATGATTCGGAGGGCGTGAAGAAGGTCTTGATGGTCCCTCCGGTCTTTTTTTTGTCCTCTATCTTCAAGCGGTATTCGACGTCCATGAACTGCGTTGCATGAAAACATTAACTCATGACAATAAATAGGTATTAAATTTTTTCCACAAAAGGAGGAAAAAGGAACAGTCAAAGTGATGACTAGTGAGTGAAAGGAAGATTAATACGTATAGTTATTATGGGTAGCAATAATGTAATGATAAATACCTTAAGGGTGATGGGATAAGAAGAAGAGAAAAAAGGAGGGATATCACGGGATTGTTGAGGGGTGTGATTGGGAGGGAGATTGGAGTCTCCATTTGGGGTTGGTGATGGCATTATGGTTTTTGTTACTTTGATGGGTTTTCCTTTGTCTCTCTGAAGTTTTGGAAAGTTGAAAAAAGATGAAGAGAAGTGTGTTAGGAGTGAATGAATGAAGTGAGAGGAAGAAGGGATAGGAATACAAGGGGTATTTATGGAGGGATCAGAACCCATGGCACTGCCACGTTAAAGTAGAACTACCAATTTCGAATTGATACGTGGCGATCATATACATCGTTTGGCATGGTGCAATGTTTCGTGGAATGGTCCACTTTCTCTTCCTCATACTTTTTTCTTCTTTTATCTCTTCCCTTTTTTTTTTCTTTTTTAAATGCAAAAAGAAATATTAGGTGTTTCAGAATCTTAAATACTGCTCAGAACTTGAAAAACGTACTGGTATGGTAGGAGCAGACACTGCAGCTGCTGTTGTTACCCATTGCCTTGGCAACAGGAGGCGTATTCATGAGTTGTTCAGGATTTTTTTCGATCTTCATCGGGAAATAATAAGGTAGTTGGAACACCTGCCACCACCATCACATACCCAACACATCTATCCATCTTCTTCTTCACATTCTTACTACAATTACTCAACCTAACATCCCCTTATCCTCTGCCATTTTTTTTCTGGTTTTCGTCACAAACTGTCATCATGCTTTCAAATTACGAACCCATCTTACCAATTTTAAAATATAATTTTTTTTCATACTTTGATTATTTCTTCTTCTTCCCAAATATGTACAATGTGCTTTACTTACCATCAATAATTCTCAAAGCAAATTTATTACATTTAACTTTCTCTTTCAATGGCTCAACATTTATTACTTGAAATATTTGTGGGAATGTGAAATGAATCTCAAACGTGCATTCATTTGAGTTGTGCATATATCTGGAAACAGTCGTATTTTCCTTTTAGATTCTTGCTCTCTTTCAAAACAGGGAATACATGTGATGTTTTAATAAGAAATTACTATTTTTTTACTTCTTTTTAAATGTCTTTTTCAACGAAAATTATTCCTTTTATTTGTTATTAAAAAAAATTAAGTTAATATACTTTTTATTATTTATTTAATTAATATAGGGATAAAAAAAATAAAAACGGAAAAAATACAATAATATCTAAATATATGTTAAATTAAAAGTAAAAAATAATAATAATAAATAACTCATTTAAAATTATATAAAAGTACAACATTAATTTTTTAATTTAGTAAACAAATCTACTATAAAACGTATTAATTTTAGATACAAATTGTATTCAGTCACACAGGTTTAAAAGTGCTCTATCTATATATTAATGCACGTTAATTAATTTGATCTGTTATATTTAAACTCCTTATTCTGTTATACTTCTAATACAAGATCCTGTAATGGATCAGTAATATTTCTGAGTCGCTCTAAATTGAGTGATCGAGAAATCTGATCTATATATAGAAATGATTATGAAAAAAAAAATATTTAAAAAAATGGATTTCCGATTGCGTGCTTATTATATTTTTTTCACTGTATTGAAAGGGTGTGTGTTAGCACTTTTCTTCCGGTCATACAATGACTTTCACGTTTTCAAACATTTTGGATGGATATTTACTTTGAAAATTAGTTCCATTCCTTTCACGTTTAGTTTTCGTAATACAAAATATGCCTGGGTAATTATTTATTTTGCATACAATGAATTAAAGTGAGAATGAAAATTGTAAAGCTTCTGATGGTGTAGGGTCCATTTTTATTTAGTTAGATATTCGCATATTAAAGAAAATTACAATTTTCTTTTATCTTATATAACTTTCTCTCAAACTTAAAAAATACACTTTTTAAGAGATTAAATATTTGTTTTAGTTGTAAAAAAATTAAATATGATTTTACGTTTTTCAAATTAAAAAATTATATCATATTTGAGTCGGTTACAACTTAATCTTTAAAAGTTAAATTTATATTTTTTTAATAAACATTATTATCTTGCCCTAGATTTATCACGAACAAAGCTACTAAATAGAGTACATTACTAAACTATATTTTAGCCTTGAGTAAATTTTTTCTCCTTTACTCACTTTCATTTTTTCTTTTGTTTTTTTTTTCTTTAAAAGCTTGTATGCATGGATGGTTAGGGGAAATGATTTTTCAGTAAGTTTCAATTTATTAATAGGGTTGAACTACAAAAGGATTTTTCTTTTAGTGTTCTAATTTCTCCTCCTTGAATTTCTTTCAACCTCACGATACTAATGTAAAGAGAGCTACCCTAATTCTAAACTTTTATTTAAGTATATTTAAAATTTAAATTGTGGATTTTGGTTAGATTTTTGCATGGGTAAAATTTTGGAGTAAAAGATTTGAATATGTAGATAATTAGTGTAATTTTATATATTGATATATACGTGTCATGTAAGGAATATTGTAGGTAATGATAGATTTGGAAAACAATAGATGGACAACTCAACCTTTTAATTTTTTCTTTTAATAAATAATGAATTCTAAGTAGGGGTATGTTAAGCTTTTAAAACCTTGTTTGTGCTAAGTTTCAAGGTATGAATTCTTAGTACGGGTGTGTTAACTTTTTAAAACCTGGTGTCAAAGTTTAAAAGATTGATTTAGAGATTGAGTTATTCTTAATTGCTAAATGATTTGAAATATTTTTGGTGAGTTTTAAATTAAATTGAGACAAAATTGTAAAAATACAAAGTTGCACTAATTATGTATGGGTTAAGAGCAAGACTTTGAAATTCGAATTTTTTTGCTTGAGAAATCAAACGATAGCATGTTTTATTTGTTTTAGTTTAGTATTTATATGCTTACATGTATTATAATCCTAGTTCGTTATAAGTATTTTATTTTATATGTAATAGCTTAATTGATTTCTTATTAGGAAATTTTAGGCTTAACTCAATCATATACAATTGACTTGTAATAAAATGAGTTTGCATTCACTTATATATTATTTATAGTTTAAGTGTGAGACTAAACATTAATAAGTGATCTCAGAGCATGTTAAAAAATATGTCCAACAAACAAAAATTATCGCTACGATATATTTTAATAACGACTTTGATATTATGTTAAGAACTAGACTTCAAGTCTAATTCAATCCTACAAAACCAGCTTGTAAGATTAAATTTGCCCTCACATATATACTCTAAATTCATCTTATCTCTAGTCAATATGAAACTTCCAACATACTTATTCACAACGAGGTATATATATTTTGTGCGTGAGACTAGACATTAATATGTGATATGATAGCATGTGGAAGAATAGCCCAACAAATATCAAATTTTGTTATGATAAACTCTAACCTATGACTCTGATATTATATTAAAAAGTGGACTTTAAGTCTAACTCTCATAAAATCGATTTATAAGGTGAGATTTGCACCTACTTAAATATTATAAACTCGTTTTATCTTTTCTCAATATTACTTTATACAAATGATTGATTTCTAGTCAATTAGTCAATATAGCGTTCTCCAATGTGAAATAGAGGAAAGTGTTAATGTGAAATAGAGGAAAGTGTTAGTGATTTGTCATGGGATCAATAATGTTAATCTCTTTTTATTTTATAATTATGATAATTAATTATGTAATGATACCTCCGCAAATGATGTATAAGGTGAAAAGTAATAGCGGTGTCTTTATTTTAAGCATCTCTCATCGAATATTGTAGAAATAATATGTTTTGCATTTTTATACTGCTACACTCACGAAAATTTTATACCTAATTACTTTTATTTTAAAAAAATGAATTCCATTTACTTTGTAACTATAGGAAAATAATATTAATTAACAAAACAAAAGAATAACATTTTTTTTTCGTGACATTATCTTGGGCAGCAACTTGAATTTTCAATCATGTTAATGAAGAAACAAGGAGTTATATCATAATCAGAGAGTTATGTGGCACGTAACATTGAAAGGGCACAAAATATAAGGATTTGTTTATTTGGGAGTGATAGTGAGTTCAACGTTGGAATGCATGGCCTACCTCTGCATGAATATGACTTCAGAGGCAACCTTCAAACCAAACCTTTCAAGAGTTGAAATGATAAAGTTTATTCTAAAAAATGTCCTTTTTTTACGTGTAATCAGAGTAATACAGTTTGAGGGATTCTTATCATCAGATGGATTCAATCCAAGTGTTGAATCCTGCTTTAAAGAAAGAATAAGATTGACGTCACTACGTTAAACCTTCGCCATAAATAGTGTGCAGCTAAAGCTTTCAATTTCATATCTACTCTTTTTGTTTGTGCATATGGCTTTGAAGTCAGTGTTGGTGGAAACACAGAAAAATGAATCCATTTGATGTGTCCAAAGCTTTTCTTCATTTGGGGGGTTTGTTTTTGTGGCGGTGATGGTTTTTTGAGGCGGCCAGACATCAATATGAAGCGCTTTATGTGCCAAATCTAATACCTTCCACTCTACCATCTTATTAGCTTTTCAGGGTTATTGCGTTATTGGAGTATTATTTATGATTAAATATGTTTTTCGTCTCTTAAGTATCACACGATTTTGGATTCAGTATCTACTCGAAACTTTTTTTTATTTTAGTCCTCTTAATTTTGAAACTATTACAATTAGTCCTAAAATTGATAGGCGTTAGATTTTGACTAACGACGAGCTAAGTGTGATATCATCTTTCTTCGTGATTGTGTTTCACGTTGTGCTTTTATTTTTTCTAAAATGAGCAACTACAAACCGGTAACCGTACTCACCGACGCCAATCAGTTGCAAGCGGTCGAAAAAGAAGAAAAAAGTGAAACATAAATAATTTCAAAGTGTTTCGGGAGATAGCAAATACAATGACAGTCTGAATGCAACTCCCGAATTTCAATTTTATTAGTTTCAGTTTTTTAGATAACTCGCTCTCTGTCGTTGCTCGTGCCTGAAAAATATGTAATACAATAATGGTAACTGTCAGTTGCCATTTAACTCTAGAATCTCAGTTTTTTTAATTGAATCTTGTCATTAGTACAATCTCTCATCTCTTGGATTTTTTTTTCGCACAGTTCTTCAAAGCTTGTTTTCAAGAAGAAAAAAAATAGTTTCTTGTCATCCTCCTAACACAGTCTCTCTTTTTATTTGTGTGAAATTTTAATGTTTTAAATGATAAAAAGATAATGATATTATGAAATAA